AATTGGGGAGTACTTGGAATCCACCCTGCCTATTGGGAGCTCAAACAAAAGAAGTCACAGCTTTTGATTTTCTGGGTCAAATTTTTCTTTGGCAACCTTTACTCGGCAGTAGATCTGTATGCGTGAACATGGAAAGGTGCTCAAGATATACTGAGATGAAAAACCCCAGGTTTCAGATGAAATGTGTGCATGGGGAAGTCGGAAATGCACAGCACGTCAATACAGTGCCTCAGCTTTAGGGAGTGGGCTTAGGGAGCACTAGAACATTTTCACTTTTTACTGTACTTTTGTTGTTAAATGGTTTACAATAAGCCCATATAAACATAACTTTTATAACAAGTCGGGAGAGAAGAAAAAAGCGTTTGAAAATTTCCTACTAGGGCCGTCCTGTGGCTCACTCAGTAGAGTGCGGTGCTGATAACACCAAGGCCACGGGTTCGGATCCCATATAGGGATGGCCGGTTCGCTCACTGCCTGAGCGTGGTGCTGACAACACCAAGTCAAGGGTTAAGATCCCCTTACCGGCCATCTTTAAAAAAAAAAAAAAAGAAAGAAATTTTGCTACTACTACTATTACCGCAGGGAGACACATTACGTTTCTCAGCCCAACACAGGGACCGCTGCGCAGGCACCGGGAACGTGAATGCAGACATGCGGTTACTGACATGGAAGATGCTCCTGCACACGGATGTGGCCCCACTTCAGGAAGGCCCCAGGGAATTTGGATTTGGTGGCAGCTGAAAGCTGTCCAGGGTCCTGTGCCTGGTTTCACACATTTTACTGAAATCAGAGCAGCTGTTGCAGGATCTTCTAGAAACTGACCCTGGAGTCCTGTCGTCTCCACCCCTGTGCCTGGCCCATACTGCACTTCTTTATTCTCTCTTTAATGAATTGTCATTACATGACTTAATGGGGAATGTAAAGGTGGAAGCATGTGGGAACCGCACGGTCAGGAAGACGACAGGGGAGATTTGAAATGGGAAGACTCGTCCCCTTTTGTTCAGTGACACTAGATAGAGATGTGTGTTGCAGATCTTTCAAGACAGAACCAAAACCATAACAATTATCTCTGGAGAGGGGTGGCTGTGAATATTTTTATTATTTATTCAAATAAATGAGCTAATATTTATAATGTGCTTAGAAAGATGGTTAAGCTGCTATGAAAATAATTTGCTATGTTACATAAATCTTTTTTCTAATTTTCATACAATAAACATAGATAATGATAAAAGTAATTTATACAAAACTTCTGGCTCCATTAAAGTCAACAGAAAAAGAGGTTTTTTTTTTTTTTGAAACCAACAAGATTTGATGGCTAATGACGCAGGGACCTGAGCCCAAGGAAGAGCTAGAAATGACCTCCACATGCCAAGAGCAAGCTTGGCTGAGCACGAGGAAGTAAATGCATAGGATGTTCTGGGCAGGCCCAAGAGGCCTGGTTTACAGGAGGACGGAATACACCCTTCTCAAACTGGACTCACACAGAGAGGTCGTGACCTGATTTTCTGAGTCAAATCTTTGAGAACGTTCATTCCTGATAATGCAGCCATGTGAGAGGAGCAAGCAGGTGCCCAGCACCCAGCCTCCAAAAGCATCTCCAGCCAGGAAATGAGGAGCTAAGAAGTGCCCCCCAACNGCACCCAGCCTCCAAAAGCATCTCCAGCCAGGAAATGAGGAGCTAAGAAGTGCCCCCCAACACTTGCTGCTTTAGTGTCACGAAGGAGGCGGCGTGTGGAGGGCTGACCACAGGGCTCCTCCCAGATGGTACTGAGTCCCCACAGCAGCAGCAGGAACTGGACCCAGAGGCTGGTGAACCTGACAGCTCTGGGTATAGGCTGCTGTGAGCTGGACAGGAAAGACCGACCCAGAGGCCAAGGCTCCCAGTGGCTGTGCTCATGGATCCTGACTTCCCTAGGGCCCTGAACTGTCAGGGGTCCCGGGCTCAGACTCAGCTCAGAGTCACAGGCTGGCTCCATTTCCCCTGAAGTCCAAAGCAGGCCCAGCTAGGAGGGACAGCCACTCACAGAAAAGGGATATCATTGGGCCGGCCCGTGGCTCACTCGGGAGAGTGTGGTGCTGACAACACCAAGGTCCCGGGTTCGGATCCCATATAGGGATGGCCGGTTAGCTCACTGAGTGAGCATGGTGCTGACAACACCAAGTCAAGGGTTAACATCCCCTTACCGGTCATCTTTAAAAAAAAAAAAGAAAAGAAAAAAAAAGAAAAGGGATATCATTGCCCCTCAAAATGGGCTGTGATTTGTTCCAAAGTCCTTCCTTTG